CATTAAAAAAAAAAAAAAATCCTACTAGTTACAACGAGGCATACAAGTCAAGTCCGATGCCTAAACTTAGAGCAAGAGAAGAACCAAACTGAGGTGATGGAGAGTTTGCTCAAAATATAGATGTTGATGATCTAAAAATAGGAGGTGGTGCTGCTGACGTCGAAGTACCAAAGGCTGATTAACTGAAGGCAGGAGTAGATGAAGTCCCAAAGCCAGTGGTAAAAGCTGAAGTCATTATTGCCAATGGATTAGAAGGGGTTAAAGTAGAGAAAGCATTAGCAGCCCATTGACCAAAAGCTGGAGAAGGAGCAAATGTGTTTATCTGGGGGGTGGTTGAATTAAAGCCAACCAAGCCAGTGGACTGAGCAAAACTTAGTGGCCCACCTAAATTTGTATAGAATATCATAAAATAATCAAGTTCATTAGTGCAATGAAAAGCAGCAAAATTAAAACTTATAAACAATTAATTAACAATGACAATCACCTTTATCTCTGTAATTTAGAGAATGAAAATTGTGTATTTTATTGATACTTCGATTGGGTATTTATATACAATAGAGGAGCCTAGGTATTAATGGCTCATTAATATGAAATCATATCACATCATATCCTATATACTAATTACAGGATATTTACATATCTTATAATATCTCCTACAATATCTTTACACTCCCCCTCAAGTTGGAGCATAGATGTCAATCATGCCCAACTTGTTACAAAGATATTCAACTCGAACCCCATTGAGAGCTTTGGTGAGAAGATCACCCAACTGGTCGCTGGATCTGACATGTCCTGTAGAGATGAAGTTTTCCTTGAGCTTGTCTCGAATAAAATGACAGTCAATCTCAATATGTTTCGTTCGTTCATGAAAGACCGAGTTCGAAGCTATGTGTAGGGCTGCTTTATTATCACACCACAGCTTTGCTGGTAACGAGGTTTTAAGACCAACCTCTTTTAGTAGCTGGTGTATCCAAACTATCTCACATACAGATTGCGCCATGGCTCTGTATTCCGCTTCTGCACTCGATCGTGACACCACATTCTGTTTCTTGCTTTTCCAGGACACCAAGTTGCCTCCTACAAAAACACAGTATCCTGTAGTCGATCGTCTCGTGGCTTTCGACCCACCATGATCAGCATCACAAAAGCACTCAATGTCTGTGTGACCATGATTCTTGTACAATATCCCACGACCCGGGGATCCCTTCAAGTAGTGTAACACATGCTCTAAGGCTTCCCATTGTCGGACAGTTGGCGCAACCATAAATTGGCTAAGGACACTTACTGGATAGGTGATATCAGGACGGGTCACTGTAAGGTAATTCAACTTCCCAATCAGTCTCCTATACCTCTCTGGATTTTCAAATGGCTTGCTCTTAGCAGCCTCATCAGGATTTTCACATGGTATGCTACCATCAGCATCAAGCAGAGGATTATAGACCATAGGGAAGCTGGTCGGGGCAGCCCCTAGTTTCCCAGTTTCTTTCAACAGATCAAGAACATACTTTCTCTGAGTCAATAAGATGCCTTTCTTGCTCCTCATGACTTCAATTCCCAAAAATACTTCAATGAACCCAGATCCTTCGTTTGGAAATGTGAGTTAAGGAACGACTTGAGAGATGAGATCCCCGAGGCATTGTTTCCTGTAATCACAATGTCATCGACATACACAACCAGTAGAATCATGCCAGCACTTGTTTGCTGATAGAACACAGAATGATCACACTTACTCTGGTGCAGGCCAAAGTTTTTCACAACAGTACTAAATCTGTCAAACCATGCCCGAGGACTTTGTTTTAAGCCATAGAGTGATTTCTTAAGGCGACACACCTTCCCACACTCCCCCTGAGCAACAAAACCTGGTGGTTGCTCCATATACACTTCTTCAAGGAGATCACCGTTCAAGAATGCATTTTTGATATCTAATTGATGGAGATCCCAACTATAGGTAGCGGCCATGGAGATAAACAGACGAACTGAAGAGAGCTTGGCCACGGGAGAAAAAGTCTCAGAGTAGTCAATACCATACTTTTGAGCATAGCCTTTTGCGACAAGGCGAGCCTTGAGGCGTTCAAGTGTACCATCCGCCTTAACTTTAGGGGTCAACACCCACTTACACCCAATAGCTTTCTTTCCTGCTGGTAAATCTACTAAGGTCCATGTGCCAGCACAATGAAGAGCCGCCATCTCTTCTTCCATAGCAGTACGCCAACCCGGGTGGGACAAGGCTTCATGAAGGGACTTAGGTACTGAAATAGTATCTAAAGAGGCAACAAAGGCACGAGAAACAGAAGGGAGGTGGTTATATGAAACAAAAGAAGAAATAGGATGGGCACAAGTACGTTTACCTTTGCGAAGGGCAATGGGCAAATTAAGAGAGGGATCTGGATCTGGAACAGGAGGTGTCTCAGAGTCAATTGAGGGATCGGCATCTAGACCTGGGGCAGGGTCAGGCTCAGGGTGCATGATGCTTGCTGCAGGATCAGATGACGAAGCAGATAATGGTGGAGCAGAATGTGGCGCAACAGTAGGAGTAGTTTCCTTCAAACGTCTGGTGTAGACCCAAGACAAAGATGGTTGACCAGGTGCCAGTACGGGAGCTGGTGCTGGTGGTAAACTTGGACTAACAGAATATACCAGAAAGGTATCCTCCTCCGCCGGTGGAGAAGGTGCAGCGGAAGCATTAGGTGCAAAGTAGGCAACAGATTCCTGAAAAGTGACATCGGCTGAAACCAAATAACGATTCAAAGTAGGAGAAAAACATCGATAACCCTTTTGAACTCGAGAGTAGCCAAGAAAGACACATTTAAGAGACTTGGGGTCCAATTTAGAGACCGTGGGACGCACATCTCGAACAAAACAAACACAGCCAAAGATCTTAGGATCAATAGGGAACAAAGCTTTGGAAGGAAAGAGAGTAGTGTAGGGAATGTTACCATCAAGGACAGAGGAGGGCATGCGATTAATAAGAAAACAAGCTGTGGAGACTGCATCTGCCCAGAATGGTTTTGGAACCTGCATTTGAAATAAAAGTGCACGGGCCACTTCTAATAAGTGGCGATTTTTTCTTTCGGCCACACCATTTTGAGCCGGTGTGTCCACACAGGAAGATTGATGAAGAATGCCATGTTGAAGCATAAAAGAGCGAAAGGATTCAGAAAAATATTCTTTAGCATTATCACTGCGCAAGGTGTGGACAAGCGTATTGAATTGAGTTTTAATTTCGGCAACAAAAGTACAAAAGTGAGAGAAAAGCTCAGAACGATTTTTCATTAAATATAGCCAAGTGGTACGGGAATAATCATCAACAAATGTGACAAAATATTTAAAACCACCTTTGGACTCAACTGGACACGGACCCCAAATATCGGAGTGCACTAACTCAAAAGGGGACGAAGCCCGTTTATTGACTCTAGACACTAACGGTAGACGATGATGTTTAGCAAACTGACACGACTCACAATCTAAAGACGACAAATGCTGAAACTGAGGATAAACCTTTTTTAAAGAGGATAAAGATAAATGACCCAAACGACAATGTGCTTCAAATGGAGTGACACCACCAGTACAAGCCACCGCACGAGACCCCTGATCATCAAGGAAGTAATGCCCGCCAGATTCGTAGCCCCTACCAATAATCTTCTTCGTCAAAAGATCCTGTATCAAGCAATGGTCAGGAAAAAGTGAGACCCAACAATTTAATTGGCGAGTAAGCTTGCTAGGGGACAAAAGGTTAAAAGCCAGATTTGGGACATTGAGTACAGATTTTAAATGAATAGAAGGAGTAGGTTTAACAGATCCAGATCCAAGGACACGAGAGTGGGAACCATCCGCAATGGTGATAGCAGAAGGGTTGGCATAAGAAGTATAGCTAGAGAAGAGATGACGGTTACCTGTCATGTGGTCAGTAGCACCAGAGTCTATGATCCATTTGTTGGAAGAAGAGACAAGGGCAGTAGCCTCATTACCTGTTGCACTAGCAGTGCTCACGGGGGGATTTGCAGATTTCAATTGAGCATACTCGGCAGCTGAGATAGTAACCATGTCACTGGTTGTTGTAGCCACATGGGCAGAGCTCTGTCGTTGTTGTTTGTTTTGCAGCTTACGACATGTGCGTTTAGTATGTCCCGGTTCCTTGCAGTAATAACATATTACTTCCTTGGGCTCCTGATTACCACCTCCTGGTTTCGGACCACTTCGACTAGGGAGCCCTCGATTGTCATTCTGGCCTCGACTGAGTAATGCACTAGTAGGTGGAATGGGAGCTGAGGAAGGGTTTTGTTCAGTTCTCAGTACACGAGAGAAAGCTTCTTCAAGAGAGGGGATGTCAGCTCCCGACAAAATTTGTGATCGAGCAGCCGCATATTGAGATGGCAGTGCAGTCAGAAAACTCATGGTGGCCATCTGCTCGCGGTGAGACACATTAACTTTCCTGTCATCAGAAATAGGCATAAGAACATTGAGCTCTTCATAGGTGCTTTTAAAGTCCATAAAGAAGTTTGTGAGGGAACGGTCAACGGGCATCTCGGACCGATAGAACGATCTGCAGACCTCGTAAATACGAGAGATGTTGTTCTTTCCTGAGTATAAGAGGGCCAAATAATCCATTAGCTCTTTAACAAATTCACAATGAGTAATAGAAGGCATGATCTCACTGTCAATAGAGTTACGAAGTTGTAACAGAAGTCGTGCATCATCTCTTAACCATGACTTGCGAGAGGCATCCTTTTCATCAGGAGGATTGTCAGTCAAGTGATCTTCCTTCTCAATACTCCGAAAATAAATACGAATAGTCTTACTCCAATCCAGGTAATTTTTCCAAGTTAGTTTGTGTTCAGTAATCTTAGTGACTACTGGAACCACCTCAGGAACAACAGATTTGTTATCACCCATTAGGATAATAATGATCACAACAACACTAATCAGTCAAATGGATCACACTAGGGACCACAAAATAAAAAATAGATCAGAATTCCACAAACCAGAGCACCAACGCTTTCTCAGGAAGCCAAAAAATTGCTCTGAATCACAACAAATAATGGGACCCACGAAGTATAAGTAGCAAGGATGGGTCGGGGAACAACAGAAGACGCCGGAAACCGAGAGAGGACGCCGGAAAATGACAGACAACGCCGGAAAACACTGCAAAACGCGACGGCGCGTGAACAGTGCACGGACGGGGTGACGGCACGTGAAGGCCACGCGCTGCTCGGACGGCGACGAGACTCCGGTGGTTGGCCGATCGGAACCCTGTGACCTCCCCTGACCGGCGCGTGTGCACTGTAGATGGCGGGAGAACGGACCTCTGGTAGCGTGTGAACAGTGCACGGATGCTGGTGAACAGTGCACGGACGCTGGCGGCCAAAAAAAAATTTCTTCTAACCCTAGTAAATTGGCTCTGATACCATGTAATTTAGAGAATGAAAATTGTGTATTTTATTGATACTTCGATTGGGTATTCATATACAATAGAGGAGCCTAGGTATTAATGGCTCATTAATATGAAATCATATCACATCATATCCTATATACTAATTACAGGATATTTACATATCTTATAATATCTCCTACAATATCTTTACAATCTCCAATTTGATAGTCCTGCCATTTTAGCTCCTCATGGCTTTTATCTTTGTAGATAGGCATGGCTGATATGGACTCCAATTTAGCAGATCGTCCAGAGGTATCAACATCTACTTCAGCTGTTGGTGTATAACTAACAACTCTACTCCCACCCTTCTGACGCCCGAAACAAGAATGCCCAACACCAGTACCTCCAGAAGCTAATGAAGTGGTTTGAGATCCTGAAAGAGTAAATATGCAAAAGGTGACTTTCCATTGTAGCACAAGACATAAAAAAGGCATCAAGATTTCAACACATAAGATACAAAAAAATATGAAAAAAACAATAAAAGCCTTTTGTAACTTAAAAATATATATCATGTCAGAATTCAATTATGCATAAATCTAAATTCTTAACTCACCAAATAGAGATCTCTGTCCTCGAAAAGTTGAAAAGAGGTCGAAAAATACCAATATGCATCTCATACACAAAAATCCTATTAGTGACAACGAGGCATACAAGGTAAGTCCAATGCATATACCCAGAACAATAGAAGAACTAAAGAGAGGTGATGGAGAGTTAGCACCAAATGTAGATGTCGAAGTACTTCCAAAAGCTGATGAAGTCATCTGAGATCCTGAATGAGAAAATATGCAAAGGTGACTTGTAATTGTAACACAAGACATAAAGAAGGCATCAGAGTTTCAAGACATGAGATGCAAAAGGTATTGAAAAAAAAAAAAAAGCCCCTTGTAAATTAAATGCACAAACACACACACATCATCTATGTCAGTATTCAATTATTCATGATTTCAGATTCTAAACTCACAAAATGGAGAACTCTGTCTTCCAAAAGATGAATTAAAGCAGACCAAGCTAATAGATTGAGCAGAACAGAGTAGCCCATCTCAATTTGTATTGAGTATTATAGAAATATCAAGTTCATTATGCCATAAAAACCACCAAAACTTAAAAAAAAATAAAAATTACACACTATTAATTGATGAATAATAATGGCAATCACCTTTATCTCCAATTTGATACTCCTCCCATCTTAGCTCCTCATGGCTTTTATCTTTGTAAATAGGCATAGCTGATATGGACTCCAATTTAGAGGTACCACCATCTTCTTCAGTCATTGGTGCATAATGAATGACTCTACTCCCACCCCGTTGACCCCCCGAACCAGAGTTCTCAATACCAGTGCTTCCAAAAGCTGATGAAGTTGTCTGAGATCCTGAATGAGAAAAAATGCATAGGTGACTTTCAATTGTAGCACAAGACATAAAATTGGCATAAAAAATTCAACACATAAGATACGAAAAGATATAAAAAAATTAAAAGTCCCTTTTTGACTTAAAATATATATAAATGTCAAAATTAAATTATTCATAATTCCAAATTCTAAACTCACCAAATGGATAACTTTGTCCTGCAACAGATGAAAAAGTGCTCCCAAATGGACTGCTACCAAATGCTGAAGTAGACTTACCAATAGTGGATCCAAAACTAAAGGAAGGAGTACTAGAAGCACCAAATGCAGGAGTGGATGAAGTCCCAAATACTGGAATAGCTGAACAATGAAATAAAGGGGTACTTGACGCATCAAATCCTTCACCAGCTCCAAATGCAGGAGAGCTTACACCAACCGCATTCCATGTGTGGCCAAAAGTTGGACTTGAGGTTGAACCAAATGCAGGGGCGCTAGTTGCCCCAAATGTTGGGGCGCTTGTAGAACCAAAGGCAGCAGTGCTTGTAGAACCAAAGACGGGGGTGCTCGTAGAGCCAAGTGTTGGCTGAGATGATGCACCAAAATCTGTCGAAGAATCGAATATGCTGCTCCCAAATGCCGTTTGTGATGGTTGTCCAGCACCTCCAAAAGGACTCATTCGAGCATAAGCTGCAAACTCTCCAAAAGCAGGTTTTTGGCCAAAGGTAGACAACCCTAAAGAGCAGGAGAATTTCATCAGCATTAATTGTAAGACGTTGAGATTATACTGACAAGCCTGAATTTTTCTAACAAGACCTCATAAAACAATATAAAAGTCAGATGGTTCAAAGTAAAGCTTAGCAGATTCTAGAACATTAGTCAAAATTAAAATATCAAAGGAGGTGGGAAAACAGGACAAAGGGTACTGATGGCTGTCCGTATAAGAAGTAAAGTCAAGGAAGCCATAACAAAAAAAGGAATGGTAAAAAATTTGATGTAGTCCCTAGATGCTGTAATCCAATTCTCTAAAGAGCACAAGAAATAGCATGCACATATGAAAATCATCACCAATATTTTTTATTAACTCTTGCTTCCAACGACATCAAGCACCGGCATCAAGGAAACTTAAACCAGATGAAACAAGTCTAGAGAAAATGCCACATTATTTGTTCTTCCTAGTGATATAGACAACATAATCGAACTCAAAGAGGCCCTCAACATAGTCATGCATTTTCAAGCATATACATGTAAGCGTATGCACTCTGTCTTTATCTTATTTTAAACAAGACAGAATGCAATCAGTCAAATATAGTGTTCTACACCATTAGACATATCCGCCGTACACTTGTTTTCCAAGGATTCAAATAAGTGAATCTGATTAACACTAAAGATACACTTCTAATAACAAAGTATAACAAACAAGTCATGTGCACTTGCCTACCTGCAAACGATGAAGATGAATTGCCAAAAGCTGAAGTTGAAGATGACCCAAAAGCAGGCACTGAACTGCCAAAGGCTGGCAAAGAAGAACCACCAAAGGTGGTCGTTGAAGAGAGGGAAGATGCACCAACTACGCCAGTCAAAGCACCTCCAAACAAAGAACTAGTTTTTGAGCCAAGTGGTGTTGTACTACCAAATGGCTTTGGGACAAAAGGGCCGCTACTCGATGCATTGGTCTGCCCAAAAACTGATTGGAAGCCAAGTGGACTTGAAGATGATTGCCCAATAGCTGTTAAATGATGTCACCTTATTAATGGGATGCAGAAGCAGACGGCAAGAAAAGAAGCAAGATGCTCTATGTGGAATCACAATATAAAAAAAGCTATCACATCCAACAAGTGATCAGTTCAAGAAATAATATTCCACGTATCACATAATAAAATAAAATGCAATAATATGATCAATTATGAGACCAAATAGAACTGGCTCAATTTTGATGATCAAAAGCATCAACAGATTTTGTTTGCGTGATAGCCATAAGGTCAGAAGAAACAAATCAAAACCTAAATACTTCAAGAAATAAGACCACAGAATGCTGAAAAATCAGGTTGAACATAAAGGCAATAACAATGATGAATTTCAGTGCTGAGGGCAGCAAGAGTAGAACCACCACAAAAATAGTGTATCACCTAATGTTGACGTAGACAAGAAATAAAAATACAGAATTGAGTGACATCTTAGAATAAATTTTCAGACGATAATTCTATGTTTAGTCCATTTGCATGCCCTATAGCAGTTTGTTAGCTTGAGTGCTATAGCCAAGTAAGGCATTAGGGGGCAAGGCTTACGGTTTGTTGAACCAAACATGCTTGTAATTTTCCAAACGCAGCAGAAGCTTTATGTTCCCAAACTGAAAACACAGCAAACAAACTTCATTAAGATTAAGATTTCGATTAGTTATATACGAGATTTCCAACAAGACATTCTGCAACATATGCCACAATGGTCGCAGTGAGAGAAAGAAAAAGATATATAAATGGCATCATGAGGAATTTCGCCAGCACAGGCATGGAAAAAGCTTCAATGAGTAACCGTACAGGGGCAAAAATGAATTAGAAAATAATATTTTAATGGCAGACAAATACAATTAATATCTACATTTTGCAAGAATAGAATAATTCAAATCATCTTACTACAAGCAATGTGCCTTTGAGCGTTAGGCAACTTATTCACAGTGACGATGGTTGCAACTTGAAAGTGGTGACAATGAAGAAATAACTTCAGCCAAGCAAAGAGAGAAACAACAGTAAATTTCAGTCAGAAGATCCGAATATGGTGTGGTGGAGATACGCTACAACTCTGACATGAAAAATATTCAAACAAATCAAGAGAAAGACTTACGGCGTGCGAACAAGATAGATCCTTGCGTCGAATAAGGTCAATTAGGGCAATGGTTGCAGAGAAGGAAATCGAAAAAACACTTCCGAGAAGAGGCACACAGAAGAGCAGAAGGCCAACGGGGAGTGACATCAAAGCGGGAATGGGTTGCTTTTGTAAGAAGAAAAGCCGCGTAGCGTTAAAAATCCGTCCCTTTTTCTTTTTTTTTTTTGTAGATTTTTTTGCCATTGCGTTAAAATTCCGTCCTGAGGGTGGGGACTAAGAAGCAGGAAATAAATCAATAATGGAAAAGGCTGGGGAGTCATTCGTGTGTATATAAAATAATATGATTCATCTTTTTAACATTAAAAAGTTAGTAATAATTAAATAATACGTTGGCAAAAAAAATTAAATAATACAAAATAATTTTTATAAATAATTAAGAATATAGACTATTAATTATTATAGTTAGTAACAAAATTATGGATATTGTGATATAAAAAATTAATTAAACCAAAATGTCTATTACATGCAAAGAAAGAATAGTTACACCTTATTATTATTTTCGTTAAATCATTTACCTATATTTTACTTTAGAGGATAAATTATACATTTGGTTCTTTTAAGTTTATATCAAGCTTCATTTTTTGTTTTAATTTTATAATGTATATTTTTAGTCCTGTAATGTATACTTTTAGTCTTCTAATTTTATCATTGTTTATTGAAAAATATTAACTCAATAAATTTATATAGTGGCTATGTAATTAAAGGCTTCACAAAGCTGAGAAATTTTTGCAAATTTCGTTCATTTAATTTAAATTATTTTAGTTTTGGAAATTTAAATTAAAATAATATCTAAAATATAATATGAATAAATTATTTTAATTTATTTTTTCATTATATGCTCGCCTTCTTCATCGAACCACTTTTCTCTATAATCCATACCTCCCAAGCTAGCAACCAATCATTTCATATGATCATCATTCATATTTTCCGATATTGAAAAATTGGATTTGAAAAAAAAAGGGGGAAATCTAGAAAAATTATGAATAACATATTTTACAATATTGAAGGGATTTGTTCACAGTCCGTCCTTAATCTTCATACCCGTATAAGTCAGTTAGAACCTTCACTACTCCTCTCTATTTTTTATTTTTTTATTTTATTGTAGTACTGCTCCGATCCTTTCTCCAGTGGCCAGACGAGTATACGGGTCATATACTCGTAATGGTCACTCATGTACTCGTCTGATCACTACAGGGCCTCATGCTTGTCTTTTATGATCCAACAGATGAGCATGAGAGCCTATATTTTTTTGTGCCTATATTTTTTTGTTTAGTGTAACCAAACGAATATATTATCTTCTTTTATTTTATTTTAAATGAAAATAAGAGATGAAAATGAATTTTTTTTTAGTAGTGCTAGTTATTGAGTTAATTTTAGTCCTACATATAAGAATTATTTATCAAATTTATTAATTTTTTTAAATTATTTCTATTGATACTTCCTCAACTATAATCAAGTAGGAGGGGGAGGGATGATATTAAGAAAGATGATTATGGTACTTTAGAAAAAAAAATGTTACATTTCTTATAATTAACTAATATATCTAACTTTCTTAATCTAATCAAATTAGTTAAATAGATTTTATATTAAGAATCAAAGGAGTATTAAATTATTCACATCAAAATTTAGCCAGTTAAATTTAATTAATTACTCATCCAGTTTTTAATATAAGACATAATTTTTGAGTTAATTTTGGTCATAAATAGAATATCTATTTCTCATATGTATCAATTTTTTTCTAAATTATATTTATAAATATTCTTTGAATCATAATCAAGTAGGAGTAAGAAAAAAAAAATTAAGGGAGATGATTGGTGTTTTGGGAAAAACATGACCTATTTTTTTATAATTAACTAACTTACCTTACTTTCTTAATTTCATCAAATTAGTTAAATAGGTCTTATATTATGAATTAAAAAAGTATTTTTTTATTTATAATTTAACATTTTGATAATAATTTTGTAAAAGATTAAATCTGAACCATTCAAATATTATTCTTATGGTTATAAAAAGAGATGAGGAGGGAAGAGAATGGGAGGGAATAATAAGAGATGTTGGTGCATATGATATGACCCGCCTCTAATTTACCATTTGCTAATCACATATTTATCATTCACATGATGTCCTTCCATAATTGCCATACCCACAAATTCCAGATATGATCAATTAATATTGTAGATAATAATGATCATATCCAATTTTTCAATTTTTCATGTACCATGAAAAAGGGCGTTGGTGAAACAATCCATGGAGTGGCGGAGCTTGGGAAGGAAATCTAGGGAAAAAAAAGTTTTGATGAGGAGCAAAGAAAGTTGATTAAAATATTCTGTTTGTATTAGATTTTAATTTACAAAACAAAAATAATTTAAATTAAGTGAATGACCGTTGCAAGAATTTTTCTCTGTCAGGTCATTATTTACATTTGTTGAGTCAACATTTTTTTCACATGAAACTAATAATAATATTATGATTAAGTGATTAAAAATACACTTTATAAAATTAAGAAAATAAACTGAAATTTAATGTAAACTTAGAGGAACAAACTTATACTTTAACCTACTTTAAATAATTAAATATGGTATAATTAATTTAAGAAAACTTTGTATTATAATTAATAAAATTTAAAGAAAAATAAATATAAATTATATTTATTAATTTATTCTAGACTATATTAAGTCCCCATGTAACACTCACATTCTTTTTTTTTTTTTTGGGTCAGCATGTAACACACATTCTCACACTATTGTTTAGATAACTAAACTTATTTAAAAAGTCTGCCATAATAGAAAATACATAAACTACAATTTTGAAAAACTTAACCACATAATTATTTTTGTATACACAAAAGTTAATCATAATATAAAAGAGTCTAGCTAATCATTAAACACTCCAACGTATTAAAAGAAACAAACTACATCTAATTTCATCCTTGAAGCAACATAATTAAAATGTATTACAAGTAAATTAAACATTCTTGTACTTCTTTGAAAGTCATTATTTCTAATATTTTCCCCCTTCTATAAGTACAAAGATGGTCTAGGGATATCATTTTAAAAAAGAATAATAACGGGAAAAAGGGTTGCAGTATGGGTATAGGAAAAACAATTGTTAGAGAAAGAAAGCAATTTTCTATCCTAGTTTTGTTTCTCCTTTTCATTGCCAGTCCAATAATTTTTCATTGCAAGTAGGATTTTTTCTGGGTTGAAAGGGCCACTTTCGTGATCCATAATGTGGCTTTTCCATCTCATCCCATCAGTAATAGCTTTGATCTTCACAAGAATCTCTACAGTATCCCTAAATATAACTGTACCTTCCGGCCTCAAAATTCTGTCCATTTCCAATAGCAACAAAGTAATATCGCACCTTCATCACCACACAAAATTGTAAAGTCAGAACTTTGATATATTCTCGTCAGTGGAAAAGAAACAAGAAGAAGAAGAAAAGCCTTGGTGAGAAATAAATCCTGATTAGGGATAGAATCAGTAGATGTGGGGTAATAAGGCCCCATAATGCCTCATTCCCTAATGCTCCTTATAATGTGGTGAACTCCCTAAGCTTTTCTGTTTTATCTATAGATCATTAGATTCTATATATAATCAGCGACATGTTGACATCTTACAAGCACGAAATGGTGTGATTTTAAATTTTCTTATGATTTTTCAAAACCACACCATTTTATGCCTGTAAAATATCAAAATGTTGTTAGTTTTATGTAGAGTCTAATGATCTCGTCCATGGAAAAAGAAATCTTGGGAAGGTTGGAACATTAGAAAATGGGGCATTAGAGGCCCTTTAATATCTTACAGGGATAAAATGGTAAGAAGTTTGAATTTTTTGCAATTTTTCAAAAAAACAAGATCAAAACTAACCAAATTTAGGGTATTTTTCTTTAAAAAATCATAAAAATTTTAAAACTATACCATTTTATATCTATAAGATATCAAAATATTGCTAGTTTTATATAGAATCTAATGATCTATAAAAACGAAAAATCTTTGGAAGGTCGGAGCATTAGAGAATAGGGGGGCATCAGAGGCCCGTTGCCCGATGTTGTTTCATGTGATTACCTGTCTTGATATATGCTAAATACACCATTGGCATGGATGAGATCATAGGTTCTTGGATAGGTTGAGAAAGCTTCACACCAATCATGGTATGTCCCAATGAAACCTCGTTCATAGATTGCTCCTAAAGTGTCTGGGTTTGAATTGGAAGGCACAATGTTCATAACCCAAACTGGATATTTGGACAAGGCAGCCGCAAAGCCTCCAAGATAAGCATTCATGTCCATAATGTTTCTGTATTTTCCCTGGGAAAGTGGAATGATTCGCTTGTAATGTGTTATCCTGTTCTTCCATTCATCATTATCCTCTTGAAATTTCTCAGCATTAATCCCTGGAAGGGAATCAGAAGCAATTCGAGGAGGGAGGGAAAATGCACGTTGAGGCCATTTCTCTAATGCCCCACCAGCCACTTCTTCAGAGTTGCTAACCTCAGGCAATGGCGTAATGCAGCTTTCTAGATCTCTATACCTATTCAAAGCAGTTTTCTGGGTCCTCAATATAAAATATCAATCTATTTTGTCTCCTAAATTTGTAATTCATTCTTTAAAACATTCACGCTGATTACACATGTAAAGTAGTTTCTATCCAAAAATAGTCATAATTAAAAATAAAACTTTAAGAAAATCAACTCATATTAAGGATCAAAGGTAGTGTGTGCATAGATTTGGAGTGTTAGTTACCCGCTATGCTGTCCCCTAATTTTTTATGTCTTATGGGCAAAAACTGGTGCAATTTTCAATTTTTTATGATTTTTCAAAGAAAAATACCCCGTAATTTCTTAATTTAAACACAAATTCTTTGAAAAATCATTAAAAAAATTCAAAACTGTGTCACGTTTTGCCTATAAGATCCAAATTTTGCCCATTTTATGAAGAATTCAATGATAAAAAGAAACTACAAAAAAATTGGAAAGTGGAGAAAAATTAAAGGGACAACAGATGGGGGCAGATGAGACGTATATGCGTGTGTGTGTGTGTATAGACACTATTTTGCAGTA